TGAGAGGAAGGGGGGGGCGAAGGTGGAAACCAGGGCGGCGGCAGCGAATGGAGTGGTGTCGGACGACGGAGCGACGGCGATGGAGGTAGACGGAACAGCAGCAGCAGGATCAGTCGGAGGGGGAGGGGGAAAGGAGGGCGTCAAGAGGGGCGAGGGTACAGTGTCAAGGGGAGCGGAGGGGAGGAAGACGGACGACGAAGAAGACAGCGATGACGGCAATGTGAAGATGGGGGAGAAGGCGGCGGAGGGTATGGATGAAGAGGAGGAGATTGATCCGTTGGATGCATTCATGGCGGCGGAGATCGATCCCGTAGTTAAGGGATTAGAGAAGGAGAAGGAGAAGGAGCAGCAGGGGGTTGCCATGGGAGAAGGCCAGCAGCCACGGAGCACAGGCAACTTCCTCAGGTCAGCTGGCCCATCGACGTCGTCAATGTCGTCCGGTCTGTCAGGGAGAGGGATGGGTTCCGTGGGCGTGCGAGGAGTGAAGAGCGGCGGCTTCGTTCCAGGGGGGCCGGCGGCGACGGCGGATGCCAACGGTGTTGGACGAGGTGTAATGAAGAAAGCCGTGGGTGTTAAGCACACTGCTTCTGCTGGTGGGCTCGCAGGAGGGAAGAGGAAGGTCGCCGGTGGAGGAGGAGGAGGAGGAACGGCGGGGAGAGTGGTGATGGGGGTGGACGGTTCTTCGGACGAGGATTACGGCGATTTGTCTGAGGAGGAGGAGGAGGAGGAAGAAGAGAACGATGAAGATTTCATCAAGAGGGCGAAGAAGAGCAAAGCTGAGAAGCTGGCTGTTGTTGATCACTCTAAGGTGGAGTACGCTCCCTTCAGAAAGAATTTCTACATCGAAGTGAAGGAGGTGGCGAAGATGACGGCGGAGGAGGTGACAGCATACAGAAAGGATCTGGAACTCAAGATGCGTGGCAAGGATATCCCAAAGCCCATCAAGTCGTGGAATCAAACAGGACTAAGTTTTAAAGTCTTGGAGGTAATTAAGAGATTAGGGTTCGAGAGGCCGATGTCGATACAGGCGCAGGCTTTGCCGGTGATAATGAGTGGCAGAGATTGCATCGGGATCGCGAAGACGGGATCGGGGAAGACGATGGCATTCGTGCTGCCGATGCTTAGGCATATCATGGACCAGACGCCGTTGGGTGTCGGGGATGGTCCAATAGGATTGATTATGGCGCCGACGAGAGAGCTGGTGCAGCAAATATATAACGACGTCAAGAAGTTCACCAAGGTCTTAGGGTTGACCTGCGTTCCCGTATACGGGGGCTCGGGGGTGGCCCAACAGATCAGCGACTTGAAGAGGGGGGCGGAAATCGTCGTCTGCACGCCGGGAAGAATGATTGACATTCTGTGCACGAGCGCGGGGAAGATTACCAACCTGAGACGAGTGACGTACTTGGTGCTGGACGAAGCGGATCGGATGTTTGACCTGGGATTTGAGCCGCAGATCACTCGCATTGTTCAGAACACAAGGCCCGACAGGCAGACGGTGCTGTTCTCGGCGACGTTCCCCCGCCAAGTGGAAGCCCTCGCGCAAAAGGTGCTCAACAAGCCGGTCGGGATCCAGGTGGGCGGGAGGAGTGTGGTGAACTCAGACATCTCGCAGACCGTTGAGATTAGAGCGGACTCGGAACGGTTCTTGAGGTTGTTGGAACTGCTGGGGGAGTGGTACGAGAAGGGGAAGATCTTGGTGTTCGTCCATTCGCAGGAGAAGTGCGACAACATATTCAAGGAGTTGATGAAGGTTGGGTACCCGTGTTTGTCGCTGCATGGGGCCAAGGATCAGACGGACAGAGAGTCCACGATATCGGACTTCAAGTCGAACGTGTGTAACCTGTTGATTGCGACGAGCGTGGCGGCGAGAGGGCTGGACGTGAAGGAGCTGGAACTTGTGGTCAATTACGACGTGCCGAATCATTATGAGGATTACGTGCATAGAGTGGGGAGAACGGGGAGGGCGGGGAGGAAGGGGACGGCGGTGACCTTTATCTCGCCGGAGGAGGAGAGGTTCGCGCCGGACTTGATGAAGGCGTTGGAGTTGTCGCAGCAACCGATTCCAGAGGATCTGAAGCGACTGGCAGATGTGTTCTTGTCGAAGGTGAAGCAGGGGACGGAGCACGTGCACGGCAGCGGATATGGCGGCAGCGGTTTCAAGTTTAACGAAGAGGAGGAGGAGTCGAGAAAGGCGGTGAGGAAGGCGCAGGCGAAGGAGTACGGTTACGTAGACGAGGAGAACGGCGACTCCGAGAGTGAAGACGACGGGGTGCACAAGGCGGGAGGGCAGTCGGCGGCCGCCGCGGCGGCGGCCGCGCAAGCCGCCGCCGCGGCGGCTGCCAAGGTGGCGGCGGCGGCCGCCGCCGCCACGCAGCGAACCTCGGCGGCGCCGCAGGTCGTCGCCGCCGTCGCGGCGGGCAATCCCGCCCTGCAGGCGGCGCTTGCCCTCGCGCAGCAAGCGGCGGAGAAAATCGCCGCGCGCTTGCCCACCTCCGCCGTCGTCGTCCCGCCTGTTATGCCGGGCATCGTCACCTCCGTGGGCACCATGAACAATCCGATGACCGCTGGCGCAGCCAAGGCGGCAGCCATAGCCGCCGCCATGAACATTCAGCAGAGCTTGGCAAAGATCCAGGCGGAGGCTGCCATACCCGAGCACTACGAGGCAGAACTGGAAATCAACGACTTCCCACAGCATGCGAGGTGGAAGGTCACTCATAAGGACTCGCTTTCGCAGATCAGCGAATGGACGGGCGCAGCCATTACCACAAGAGGACAGTTTTTCCCGCCTGGAAAAGTCCCGGCGCCTGGGGAGAGGAAGCTGTACTTGTTCATCGAAGGGCCAACGGAGAGCGCCGTGAAGAAGGCAAAGGCGGAAGTCAAGAGGATCTTGGATGAAACCACTTCCTCTGCCACGGCATTGCCAGGCCAACAGCCTGGAAAGTATTCCGTGCTGTAATAGTAATGGTCCTACTACTACTACTACTACGACTACGACTACTACCAGGCGAGAGAGAGGGAGGGAGAACTGCCACTGCTTGTCTGTCAACGGATCTGGTCGTTTTGTCGGCGTTGTTCTTGACGGACGGGCCGCATCGTTCTGGGACACGAGAGAGGAGAGAGAGAGAGGTACGGAGAGAGAAAAGGTGGAGCTGGGCGCTTCGTCTTTGTCTTGCTGCTTGTTTCACATCCTTCGCCTCTTGTCATCTCTCCACACGCTTTTGTCGTCGTCGGACTCTGCTTTCTTTCTTGCCTGCTCTTCATCGTTGGTCAAACCATCAGGCGAAAAAGAGGGGGGGGGCGGAGGGGGGAAGGAAAGGGTTGGTAATGAGTGGGGGAGGACGAGCTTGGTGAAGTCGGCGAAAGGACTAAGGAACGGCAGCAAGGGGGCGAGCGGATTGTGCGAGACAAAGGCAGACCATGCGAGCGAGCTCTTAACAGAGAAGATGACGGGAGGGTGTTTGAGGAGGATGTCTGTGCGAGGTGTGTGCGGGCGTGCATGATTATATGTGTGTGTGTGTGTGTGTGTGTGTGTGTGTGTGTGTGTGTGTGTGTGCGTGTGTGT